TATTGGCGCCAGTCATCCGCCGCTCCATTGCTCTTTGAGAGACAGCCAATTTCCGTTTTTCAGCAAGCGTGGTGTTCTACGTCTCGCACCCATATAACATGGCTGGTAGGACGGTCGAACTGTAAACCGCTGCTTTTGCAGATGGAGAAGTAATATTCTTTCGTAGAATATTTCCCGGGACCTAGTGAAATATATAATATTAAATGCTAAGTTATTTGTTAGGTTTAAACAGTATTTAAAAGGCTATTCAACGAGTTGTTTTTTTTTTTTTTACACTGATAAGTTGAGACTATTTTTCTGGAAAGATTTTCCTCAATTTAGCGGTGCTTTTTTAAAAAAAAAATGGAATTTTTATTCCGCAAACACATCGCACTGTTCGTTGCAGGAAGATGGAATTTCTCCTGATTTTTTTTTATTTTTGTTGCTACTCCTAATACAATTTGTTGCAGGTTTCTGCCGCTGGTCTTGGCGCTGCTGGTGGTGATGGTGGTGGTGCTGCTACTGTTGCTGCAGTTGCTGATGGGACATTGAAAAATTCAATGATCAGAGAACGGATGTCACCAGCTAGTGTGGATTCTGGTTTCGATTCATCATCGTTTCCGCCATCTCCGGACTGCTCGTTGGATTCGGCACATGGCACTGTCACTGCAACTACTACAACTGCTACTGCTGCCGCTGCTGCTGCAATTGCTGCTGCCTGTGCAGTGTCCGAGAAAAATGATCCATGTTTAAAAGAAGGACAACAAACAGCCATCGCTGCTTGCACGGATCATAATGCTAATGTTGCTGGTTGGTACCATTCATTTTTTTTTTTGGTTCTTAAATATCTTTTAAAATTAAAACCCTAATTTATCAATCCTTGGAATAGGGCGTTATCAAAAGGGGGTTGCTGTTGGCACTTACTACCCTCGACAAATTGCTCGGATTCATTTACCTTTCATAGAGCGTGAATACGGGGGAGCTTTGTTTTTGAGTTTTGTTGTATCAATTTTAATTTGTTC